GCTTTGGCCTTGTCCATTCCCAGCTGTTGTGGCCATTTGGGGGAGTGAACCAGCAGATGGAAGACCTCTCTGTCTCTGTCTCTGTCTCTGTCTCTCCCTCTCTGTGTGTAACTCTGCCTTTCAAATAAATAAAAATAAATATTTTAAAAACAAACAAAAACCTGGGGTTGCTGAGGGCCAGCTCTGTCACTAAAGCAGAAGTTGCTTGAGGATAAAGCTAACTCAGTGGAGAAATGGAGAGAGATAACTGAGAACATTATTTGAAATCCTGGACCCAGCTAAGTCTGAAACCATCCCAGCTATGGACTTTTCAATAACATGAATCAATTAATTCCCCTTTTTGATTAAACCACTTTGAGCTAAGGTAATGTCACTTATGGTTTTAAGAGTCCTGGCTGGGGGCTAGTGCTGTGGTGTAGTAGGCTAAGCTTTTGCCTGCAGCACTGGCATCCCATATAGGTACTGCTTCAAGTCCCAGCCGCTTTACTTCTGATCCAGCTCTCTGCCATGGCCTGAAAAAGCAGTAGGAAATGCCCCAAGTGCTTGGGCCTCCTCACCCATGTGAGAGACCTGGAAGAAGCTCCTGGCTCCTGGTTCCAGATCGGTCCAGCTCTAGCCATCACGGCCATTTGAGGAATGAACCAGCAAATGGAAGACCTCTCTGTAACTCTACCTCTCAAATAAATAAAATCTTTAAAAAAATTAAAAAGAGTCCTGGCTGATACGAGCTCTTTTTGCTAACACTGAGCACTTATGTGCAAGGCACTGTTCTAAGTATTTTATGTGTACTAACTTATCTAATCCTTGTAACAATTCTATGAAGGATGGCATTATTATTACCTTCATTTTTTAGCTATGAAAAGTAAGGGATCGGAAAAGTCAAGTAACTTGTCCTCAGTCACAAAACTGGTAAATGGGGGCCGGCGCTGTGACATAGCAGGTAAAGCTGCTGTCACATGGGTGCCATTCCAAGTCCTGGCTGCTCCACTTCTGATCCAGCTCTCTGCTATGGCCTGGGAAAGCAGTAGAAGATGGCCCAACTGCTTGGGCCCCGCACCAGCATGGGAGACCTGGAAGAAGCTCCTGGGTCCTGGCTTCGGATCAGCCCAACTCCGGCCGTTGTGGCCATCTGAGGAGTGAACAAGCAGATGGAAGACCTCTCTCTCTCTCTCTCTCTCTCTGCCTCACTATAACTCAGCCTTTCAAATAAGTAAATAAATATTTTTAAAAAAATAGTAAATGATGATGTGCGATGCAAATCCTGTCTGGGCCTAGAGTCCAAAAACCCGATTGCAACACTATCATGCCCCAGTGCACCCAACCCTATCTGAACAGGGACTCCAACGCTCTGCCCAAAGGCAGTACCATCTTCTATGACTTCCACCTGTCCTCAATTTCATCCTGTGTAAAACAAGGATAATTCTAGTTTACCTACCTCATAAGATTCCTGTGAATCTGTGATGAAATAATAGAAGTACAGTACTTCAACAGTGCCTGGCAGATAGTAAGCATTCAATAAACAGTTAGCTTTATCACCCTGTGTGTCATCACTGAAGTGCAGCTTCAGTCTTTTTCACCTCTATTAGGTGAAGAGATACCATGGGCGAGGTAAGAGAATGAAGAGGCTTTCTTGTCTCTGACCAATGCTTAAGCTGTTTCCCCTGCCCGAGAGGCACATCATCATTGTCCCAACTCCTGTGGAACAGTACCCAGTTCAAATACCACCTTTTCCATGAAGTCTTTCCAAATAAAGGGCTCCCTCTTACTGCTGAATCGCCACAGAATGCAGCTGAGACCTCATATTCTGCCTAAGTCCTTTACTAGTTTGTAAGGCAGCATTTATCCTGGGATCTGTTTCCTCTTCCCAGCCCTAGAGAGGAACTGAATCCTTTGGAGAAAGCTGAGTCCTGTGAGACCCTAAGAGGCTAGGGGGGTGGAGAAGACATCGAGGATGGGGTGAGGCAGGTCCTCAGGACCAAGACTTGGGGCAGCTCAGAGTCAGGAGACAGCACAAAGTGCCACAGACAGGAGGAGGTGGGTGGGGTAAAGAGAAGCAAGCGCTATGTGTGCTGAACCTAAACAGGGGTGAGAGCTGGAGATTGGCTGACTTGGAGATTTCTGGTCAAATGCAGAAGAAAGATGCGCTCATTCTCCACTATTCCCAATAACTTTTCCTTTGTACCTTGCAGAATTCAGAGAGAAACAAGACACATGCCTGTCCTTCCAGAGCTCCCCGCCCAGGGAGGGTGAATGGACCAGTACACAGAAAACTACCAGGGAGACAGCCAGTGGTAGTCTCAGAAGTACAACCAAGGGCCACGGCAGTAAGAGTCGAAGTGAAAAGACCGGAGGCTCCTCACGGTGGGGGTGCCCGTGTGGAAAGGGAAGGATGAAGAGAGGAGGAAAGTGTGTGCTCAAGGAGGTAGCAGTTCAGAGCAGAGGCACCAAGGGCTGAGGATGGGCTGGAGGGAATGCCGGGAGCAGTGCTGAGGAACATATGAAAGGGAACCACTCCAAAGTTGCATCTGAAGTAATTACTCAGAGGGTGGGGTGAGCTTGTGGAGAAGCCAGGATCCTTTCAAGCACAGTAAGGGTTCTGGAGGATGGGGGTTTGCAAAAGGGGCTCCAGGAAAACCCCGCTGCGCAGCAGGGCAAGGGACTCCCTGACATCTTTCAAGGGCTTTCTGTGGAGGAAGGGAAGTCCTAGAGGAAAGTGATCCTCGGACCTCAGCGTGCCTCAGAGTCAGACTGCTGGGTCTAACTCTGAGACGTTCCGATTCCAGGAATCTGCATGTCCAGCAAGTGGTGTTGCTGTTGCTGGTCCAGGGAGCACCCTTTGAGAACCACTGCTATAGGGGAGGGACTATTTAGTGAGGAGAGAGAGAAGGAAGAAGGCAGAAGATGGGGAGAGTCCTCAAGAAGCCTCTTAGGAAGGTGTTAAGGCGCTCTCTATCGCTGAAGAGAGGAGGGGTCTCTGAGGACCAGGCCTAAGAAAAACCATCAGACAGAAAGGTTTGCGCATGGAATGCCAAGAGGTGGGGTGGGGTGGGGGTGCCTCCCAAGGACCTTTAAAGGGAGACACAAGGCTCGTGGAGGGAGCAGTCTGGAGAATGTTGGGGGCCCCTGCAGGGCTAATCCCTGAAGGAGGCTCAGGCCCAAGAAGGGTCTCTCAGTTGATCCTGGAAGAAAGATGACAAGGGCCATGCGGGTGCGTAAACAGGAATTCGGAAGGGGGTGAACCTGACAGGGGCCTGAATAAAGGTTTTTCGGAGCTGTCAGAGGTGGAATCTAACTGGGGGCAGGTGTGGCCGCGAGGCAACTCAGGAGCAAATTCTCTAAAGGCCGTCAGAGGCGGCTGTGGTGTCCCGAGAGGTCCTGGCACTTTGGAGCGGGCGGCAGAGTCCTCTAGCAACACGCTCCTCAGACAGAAGCGAGCTGAGTGCTCCCCGGAAGGGCACGAGGGGAGGCAGGCCTGCGGGCCCTAGCAGTGTCAGGGGAGAGGGATTCTCACAAAGAACTCCCAGACGCGCTAACGGCACGAGCTCCGAGGGTTACTGTGCGGGAATCTCACAGAACTTCGGGGCGTCCGTGACAGTGGGTTCAAGGAGAGGACTCCCCAGAAAAGCCTCTCTGTGAAGCAGGAGGTCTTGGAGGAGTCACCTGAGGAGTCCTGGGGTGTCAGGAGGATCTCAGGATGGGGCTTCAAGGGCGCACCTCCGAGGGGCTTGAGGGGGCGGCTGGGGCCTTCGAGAAGGCAAAAGGGGGGAGTCCCGAGAACCCCATCTAGAGGGGTCGGGAGATCTCAGGCCCCGCAGGGCTTGTGGAAGACCTTTGGGAGTTTAATCTAAAGTAGGCCCAGGCAAGGGCAGATTGTGAAAGGTTATCTAAGAAGGGTTCCCGAGAGGATGCGAGAGAAACTATGAAGGAACTGTGTGGAATCCTGAAATAATTTCTGGAACATGTGGTGTGGGTTACTGGGAAATACTTGCAATACAGGAAAGGGGTTTTGGAAGAGGCTTTTGGAATATGGGAGGACAGTCTTCTGGAGATTTCTGGAATAAGTTGAGGGGGTATCATGGGGAAACTGCTGGGGCACAAGAGGGGGATCTCCAAAACATTACAGAGTGGGGGAGGCTTGGGGGCTGCGGTGCTGGGCCCAAAGGCATAGTTTAAGGGGTGTGTGCATGAGAAGGAGCTGCAATATGGGGTGGGGGGAGGCACCTGCAGGCGAGTTTCTGAACCCGGGAGCTTTTCAGTATCTGAAGACGGGTTTTTGGGAGATGGGAAGGAGATCTCCAAGGAAGACGCACGCCCAGGGTCCACCAGCAGGATCGCAAGCACCTCTGGGGGGACACGAGTGAACATCGCCACGGAGGTTTCTGGAACGGGGGGAGGTGGGAGGGAAAATGCCCTGGCTATGTGAGAGAGGCAAGTTCGGGGAGACTGCTGGGGTCTGCCACGCAGGTCTCTGAGGGGCACCTCCGGAATGCCCGGGGTTCTGAAGGGGATTTCGGGGAGGCCCCTGGAGACAGCGAGGTGACTGGGGAGCAGAGGCGGGGTGGCCTTGGCGCGACACCGCTGGGACCGGCGCGGGGGGCGGGGGCAAAGCTGACACAAGGTCTCCGACGAGGCGGTTGATCTGTGAGGGGTGGTCTCCGGGGAAGCCTTCGGGGGGGCCCTAGAGGCTCTCCACGTCAGGCCCATGGAGGTCAGGAGGGAGGTCCCCGGGCCCGGCCCCTCGGCGATCCCCCGACAGGGAGGAGGGTTTCAGAAGGAAGGGTCTGAAGAGGCCTGGGAGGGAGACTCGGGGACGGGTGCGGGGCTTCTCTGGCGGGCTCGGCCCCCCGAGGCCCGCGCTCTGGGCCCGCCGCCGCCGCCGCCCGCGGCTCGGGGTCCCTGAGGGGGCGGGGCCGCCGCGCGGCCTGGGTCGCCCTGAGGGGAGCCCCGCGCGCCCCGACCCGCCACCGCCCCGCGCTCGCCCGGCCCGGCCCGAGACTCACCGCCTCGGCCTCCGCCTCGGCCTCCGCCGCCGCCGCTCGGGCCTCCTCAGGCCACTGCCGCCGCCGTCGCCCCCTCTCAGGCCCGCGAGCTCCCCTCCCTCCTCCCGCACCGACCACCACCGCCGCCGCCGCCGCCGCCGCCGTCGCGCTGCGTCACCGCGCTGTGCGTCACCGCCCCTGGCCCCGCCCCGACGAAGCTGCCGCGCGCCGGTATTAGCTTCTGCCCAGGTGACGAACGGCGCGTCAGCCAACCGGCGGCGAGGGCAGCCCGAAGGGCGGGAGGTGTGCGCCGAGAAAGGCGGGGTCCTGGTGAGGAGGGGAGCTACGGGGCTGGAACGAGGCCCAGGAGGCCCGCCCCCTCCTCACTGGGATTGGCCGAACGCGGGGGTGACGGGCAGTCGGCCAGGCCCAGGGCTCGGGGCCGCGCGGGCGGGGAAGGGGAGGGGCGCGCCTGGTGTTGCCAATGGCAACAGGCCGGATTGGGCCGGGGATTGGGCCTCCAGGCCCGCAGAGGGCAGTCTCGCGCTCGTCTACCTCAGCGGCCACGCGCCAAGTCACAATTCTTATTCAGGCGCTCGGGGCGGGCTCTTCCCAGCCCCTCTGGCACGCCCCACCCAAGGCGCTGGGCCCTGTGTGTCCTCGACGGCCTGAGGTGCCGGGGTGCAGCCCGGCTTCTGGGGTCCCGGCGTTCTCACGACGCCACTCCCCGAGCCTCCATCAGATGGGTCTAGCGAGGCAGGATCTACGCTTTCGGACTGAGCCAGAGAACGCACAAGAGTGCGCTCGGCACAAAGAGGCCGCTGACGCATGGGAGTTGTTGCTCCGGCTGTTGTTGTAATCTGGTTATTGTACACACTGTCCTGGATCAGAAGGCACTGAGCGGAGGGGCACGGAGACAGGGCTTGATACCGGAGCTCGCAAAAATGCCTTCAGGGTGGAGAGTGGAGCTCCAGACAGGGAGTGGGGGGAAAGGCTTGGCTGCTGGAGGAAGTTTGGGCTGGTCCTGAGGGCACTTGAAGGGTTTGGAGCCCCCAGGCTCATGATGAGTCGGGGTCTGGGATAGATAGGTCTTCGGCTTCCCTATGGAGGAAGGGAGGGATCCAGGAGCCGGGAGCAGGAGTGGGGAACGCACCGGGGCCGGACTGCGGGAGGAGGGGAGGTGCCCAGGAGGCCGAGTGTGCAGGACCTGGGACTGGGTCACGGAGCAGAAGAGAAAAGTTCCGGACGAGACTCTGGCTGGGTGATGGGGCCCCCCCAGGAGAAGCAGGTTGGCAGGATGCCTCGCCCGGTGTAGGGATGCGGGAGGACCGCGCAGCCTGCAGGTTCGGCACTTAGGAGACGGAGATGGAGAGGTCACCCAAGCCAGTAACCCAAGCTGTGGGAGTTTGTGATCGGCCGGGGGACGAGATGGGTGCATGGAGACAAAGACCAGGCGGAACCCTGAGCAGTGGGGACACTAGAATTTCGACTAAGGAATTGGCACTCTCACGGAAGATTGAGGGGCAGTCCTGGGTCTTCCTGCTGTGCGGAAGACTACTTCCAGCCAGGGTGGGGGCAAATCAGCACCTCCTACACTTAAGCAGCGACTTCGACACCGTATCGAATGGCTGTGCTTGGTGGATGCTGGTTCATTCATTAATGTTTCTTCAGTAACATGTGCCAGGCCCTGCTGGGGGTGCTAGAAATACAAGAGACCTAAGCAGATAAATATCCCTGACTTCGGGAAACTTGCATTCTAATTAGGGGGAAAGACAATAAAGAAATACAATGTAACTTGGCGATCCCTACCTAGTAGAGAAGAATAGAGCAAGCAAAGGGGACGATTGATGGGATCACTTCAGTGGGAGAGGTGAGATTTGGACAGAAATCTAAAGGTTCGAGAAAGATGGAACAGCTAGTGCAACGGGCTGCAGCAGGATCGCTCCCAGACCCACGAGAAGACTGACGTGGCCGGAGGGGCGCGAGCAAAGCGGAGATCAGCAGAAGACGAGGGCCCAGGAGTAATTGGGCAGGAGTGTGGGGCAGACCCTGTAATTTGAAAGTCGCCCAGAGGACTTGGGCTGTCACCCAGTTACACGGGCGTCACGGGGGAGTCCTGAAAAAGGAAGGCTGTCACCTGACTCTGGTTTTCCGAGGATCCCTCTGGCAGCCACGTGAAGAACAGGCTGTGGTGGGTGGCGTGGGATCAGGGAAGCGAGGAGAAGGGACTGCTGAGGCCTGGGCAGGAGCTGGAAGTGGACAGAAGCAGGGTCTGGGCTGTGCAGCAGAGCAAAGGGGGCAGGTTCTGGTTGGATGTTGGAGGCCACTGCTGGCCAGTCTGACCTACGTTGTAAGAAGACGGAGAAGGGCGAGGGTGACCCTTGAGACGTCCAGGTAGCAGGGTCACACCGGCAGACGGATGGAAGAGTCTGCAGCTGTGGGGGGGGACCCCAGGCTGGAACAAAGGCGAGGGTGTCCCCCTGGAAAGCCTGGTGAGATCAGGAAGGGAGCAAGGTGGCTGGGAAAGACGGACGATGTCCGAAGGAGGAGTCCGCACGAGAGGCTGAGAAGGGGAAGCCAGAGTCGTAGGAAGGAAACAAGCGAGTGTGGCGTCTGCAAAGCCAAGGGAAGGGACAGGGAGTGACCATCAGAGGCGGCCGATGAGATCCAGCCTCCTGGAAGTCACCGGTGACCGTGACCCCGCCTGTCAGTGGAGAGGTGGGGTGAAGGTCTGGCTGGAGGTGATGTTTTAAAATGTTTATCTTTATTTATTAGAGAGAGAGAGAGAGAGAGAGAGACTGAGTCACCCTCAAAGGTCCTCAACAGCTGGGGCTGGGCCAGGACAAAGCCAGGGACCAGGAATCCCATCCAGGTTTCCCACTTGGGTGGCAGGCCCAAGACTTCAGCTGTCATTTACTGCCTCCCAAGATCATTAGCAGAAAGCGGGATTGGGGCCAGCACTGTGGCATGGTGGGTAAAGCCTCTGCCTGCACTGCTCACATCCCATATGGGTGCCTGTTTGAGTCCCGGCTGCTCCATTTACGATCCAGCTCTCTGCTATGTCCTGGGAAAGCAGCAGAAGATGGCCCAAGTGCTTGGGCCCCTGCACCCATGTGGGAGACCCGGAAGAAGCTCCTGGCTTCAGATTGGCCCAATTCCAGCCGCTGCGGCCATTTGGGGAGTGAACCAGTGGATGGAAGACACCTCTCTCTCTTTCTCTCTCTCTCTCTCTCTGCCTCTACCTCTCTTTAACTCTGCATTTCAAATAAATAAATAAATCTTAAAAAAAAAAAAAATGGGCCGGTGCCACGGCTCAATAGGCTAATCCTCCACCTGCGGCGCCAGCATTCCAGGTTCTAGTCCCAGTCGGGGCACCAGATTCTGTCCCACTTGCCCCTTTTCCAGTCCAGCTCTCTGCTGTGGCCCAGGAGTGCAGTGGGGATGGCCCAGGTCCTTGGGTGCTGCACCCGCATGGGAGACCAGGAGGAAGCACCTGGCTCCTGGGTTCAGATCAGTGCAGTACGCCGGTGGCAGCGGCCATTGAGGGGTGAACCAATAGAAAAGGAAGACCTTTCTCTGTCTCTCTCTCTCTCTCACTGTCCACTCTGCCTGTCAAAAAACAAATAACAACAACAACAACAAAACAAAAACAAAAACAAAACACAAGGAAGTGGGATCCGAAGCAGAGGAGCTGGGGCCTGTGTTGTGAGGTAGTGGGTAAACCCACCGCCTGTGATGCCAGCATCCCATGTGGCACTGGGTTGAGTCCCATATGCTTGACTTCCAATCCAGCTCCCTGCTAATGGCCTGGGAAAAGCAGCAGAAGATGGCCCAAGTGTTTGGGCTCCTGCTGCCCATGTGGGAGACCTGGATGAAGCTTCTGGCTCTTGGCTTCAGCCTGGCTCAGCCCTGGCCTTTGCGGCCATCTGGGGAGTGAATTAGCACATGGAAGACCCCTCTGTTACTCTGCCTCTCACTGTGTAACTCTGACTTTCAAATAAATAAATAGATCTTTAAAAGCAAAAAGCAGAGGAGCTGGTACTCAAACTGACACTTTGATATGGTGGCAGCTTAACCTGCTGCACCACAACACCAGCCCCGAAGGGGATTATTAAGAGAACAATCGGGAAGATACATTGGTGCAGCCAGTGTAGACTATTCTTTTGAGACATTTTGCTGAAAAGCGAAGGAAGTGCATGTGCAGTCGTTGGCTGGGAGCTAGGTTTTAAGTTTGGAGAAACGACACCATGTGCAGGCTCAGGAGGGATCCAGTGAGCAAGGGCGTTGAGGGAGCAGAGAGAACGGTTGCAGAGGGCGACAGCCTGCGGAGCCTTGTCTGTGACTGTGGAAGGAAGCCACCCAGGCCCGCAGTCAAAGAGGGGCTGGAGCCCTGGGAAACTTCTCTTTCGTTCACTTATATTTTCCCACTGAAATACATATGGTTTTCTTATAAATTTGCTTTGCTTTTATTTCTTCTTTATGTGACACTTAGGGCCTTATATTGATTTTTTAAAAATTTATGTGTGTGAGAAGCTTACATTATCCAGGAATTTCATCTCAGAGCAGAATTGGGAGCAATACAAAACACTATTCATAAAAAAAATAAAATAAATAAAAAATAAAAATAAAAGGCCGAGATCTCGCTCTGCTGGAGCTGAACTCACAGGCTGTTATAAGGCCCGTGAGGTCCAAGAAGTGCAGGGAAAAAACTCGCCATTACCCAGGAGGTGTGGAGGAGCCCTGTAATGCACGGGTGTCTGCGTAGCAGTGGCTTCTCAGCTGCCCTTCCTAGCCCTGGGATTCTAGGATTCCAGGGACAGGTCAGTCCAAGAAGACATCCTGGAGGAGGAGAGGAACAAAGAACTTGCTCAGACAGGCTGTTTACTGAGCGTGGCCTCCGTGCCAGGAGCTGCACAGAGCTAGTTTATCCTCACAGCAACCCACTCAGAGGAGTGGAGCTGGTTCCCCCAGGCCACGTGGCAGAGAGCACTGGAGCCGAGGGGCCGGCTGCAGAGCCTGACAGGTACCCACAGAGGAGGGGAAGGAAGCAGGGGAGGAGCCCCCGGAGACAGTTGTCCCGGAAGGGGCATAAACAGGATGTGGTGTTCGATGCAAACTTCCCCCTGCCCCACAGCCCGCCCCCTGCAGCCCCGGTCCCCAGCCCTCAAAGACAGCGGAACTGAGAGAAGAGGCCTGTGGACAGAAAAGCCATGGTCAGGGGGCCGGGGAGCCTGTGGGAAGGGCTGGGGGCTGGGGCTGGGGCTGGGAGGGCACCTGGGTGAAGTCAGCTGTGGAATGGGGGTCACAGCCTGGGAAGGGACCCAGCTGCGGCAAAGGGGCTGGCTGGGGCCGGAGGGGTGGTGGTTCCGGGTTTAGACCCAGGCAAGTGGTCTAGACTGCAGTCACCTGCAGTGTTGGCCCAGGGCGCCCAGTGAGAGGGCTGTGGTCCAGCCCCCGCCCTGCTCCCCATGCCGCGTGCCCTGGCGGGCGCAGCCTCTGTCCCAAGGGAAGGGGCACCTTCCCTGACTTCCACAAAGCATCAGCTGGGCTGGCGGAGGTGGCGGGGCGAGGCCAGCCCAACTCAGCTCCTGCCGGGTCCCCTGGCAGTCCGACTCCCTGGTAGTGTGCGAGGTGGACCCAGAGCTAAAGGAAAAGCTGAGGCAATTCCGCTTCCGAAAAGAGACCGACAACGCAGCCATAATAAGTGAGCGGCCCCTCCCTTCCCCAAGGGGGGGTGGTGGGAGGTGGCAGGGACAGACCGGGAGGGTGGGCTGGCCTCCCCCAGGGATGAAGGGCGCCTGACTCCCGTGTGCCCTCGCTTCCCAGTGAAGGTGGACAAAGACCGGCAGATGGTGGTACTGGAGGAAGAATTTCAGGTGAGAGGCTGGGGTGGACAGGACCTCCAAGAGGTACAGCTGGGACTGGGAGACCCAACGGCATTGGGTCAGAAGGACCTGGAGATCAGGGTGTGGCCCTGAGCAAGAGACTTTGCCTCTGTGAGCCTTGTTTCCCCGTCTGTGGAATGGGAGGATGGTAGCTGCCTCGTTAGGTGCTTGCCAGGTCCAGTGGTATAAGCCTTGTAAAGCCTTCAGAACAAGACCTGGCACACACGGGGGGCTCCAGCAAGTGATGATGACGACGATGCTAGTCCTGGGTGCTTAAACAAAAGAGTTTCCAGGACAGTTAGCAAAAAGCTAGCAGAAACTCTCTCTATAAAAGGGCAGGCCCCACCGTCTCGTGGCCTCACTGTCTTCATCAGTGACAAGGACCTAGTGCTGTGGTTAGGACTTGCAAGGGGGTCCTTGGACACGGGACAGTGGCTGTTTGACCACAAAGGGGGCTCGGCTGAGTGCCCCTGAAAGGAAGTGTAGTGACGTGGTTACGATCTGAACACAGATTCAAATAGGGATTCTCTGCCTGCTGCCCAGGCCTGGGAAAGGGCTCTGATGTCTCTGCTACAGCCTCAGTTTTGTCGGCCATAAAATGGGGATGGTAATGGGGCCTACGCCGCAGGGCTATGGGAGAAGTCAGTGCGTGGATTCACGCGCGGTGTCTTAGAACAGTGCTCCCCACAAAGCCCATGCCCACTGATGGCAGTCATTCCTCTTTTGCTGTCTTGTTTTCTCGCTCCAGAACATTTCCCCGGAGGAACTCAAAATGGAGCTGCCAGAGAGACAGCCCAGGTATCCTGGGGGGGGGGGGGGGGGGTCAGGCCCTGGGGAGAGGGGTGACGAGGGAGGTACGGGTTGACCCCAGCCCTATTCACGGGCTTGGGGTCTCTGATGTGTTTGAGGCCAGTGGTTCAAACTCTAGAACTTTCCGTTGTTGTAGTAATATTTTATTGCCAAAATTTACACTGATAATTATATCTGATATTCATTGAGAGCCTGCTTTTTTTTTTATTTATTTTATTTATTTGAAAGGCAAAGTTACACAGAGAGAGGGATGGACAGAGACATCTTCTATCCATTCGTTCACTCCCCAGATGGCTGCAATGGCCAGAACTGGGCCAGGCTGAAGCCAGGAGCCAGGAGTTTCTTCTGAGTCTCCCACGTGGGTGCAGGGGCCCAAGGACTTGGGCCATCTTGTACTGCTTTCCCAAGTGACTTAGCGGGGAGCTGGTCAGAAACAGAGCAGCTGGGTCTTGAACCTGCACTCTATTATGGGATGCTGGTGTCACAAGCTGTGGTTTAACTGTAATGCCAGCCTCTAAATAGCAAATTTTTTATTTTTTCTTCTTTTTTTTTAAAAAATTTTTTTTATTTTTTTGACAGGCAGAGTGGACAGTGAGAGAGAGAGACAGAGAGAAAGGTCTTCCTTTTGCCATTGGTTCACCCTCCAATGGCCGTGGTGGCCGGCGCGCTGCGGCCGGCGCACCGCGCTGATCCGATGGCAGGAGCCAGGTATTTATCCTGGTCTCCCATGGGGTGCAGGGCCCAAGCACTTGGGCCATCCTCCACTGCACTCCCTGGCCACAGCAGAGAGCTGGCCTGGAAGAGGGGCAACCGGGACAGAATCCAGCGCCCCGACCAGAACTAGAACTCGGTGTGCCAGCGCCGCAAGGTGGAGGATTAGCCTAGTGAGCCGCGGTGCCGGCCTTAATTTTTTCTAAAGATTTATTTATTTATTCGAAAGTCAGAGTTACACAGAGAGAGGAGAGGCAGAGAGAGAGAGGTCTTCCATCCGATGGTTCATTCCCCAATTGGCCGCAGTGGCTGGAGCTATGCCGATCCGAAGCCAGGAGCCAGGAGCTTCTTCTGAGTCTCCCACATGGGTGCAGGGGCCCAAGGACTTGGGCCATCTTCTACTGCTTTCCCAGACCATAGCAGAGAGCTGGATCAGAAGTGGAGCAGCTGGGTCTCAAACTGGGGCCCATGTGGGATGCTGGTGCTTCAGGCCAGGGCATTAACCCACTGTGCCACAACCCCAGCCCCCTATTTTTTTTTAATTTTTAAAATTTTTAAAAAAGATTTATTTATTTACTTGAAAGTCAGAATTACACAGAGAGAGAAACAGAGAGAGAGAGAGGTCTTCCATCCTTTGGTCCACTCCCCAGTTGGCCACAATGGCTGGAGCTGTGCAAATTCAAAGCCAGGAGCTTCTTCTGGGTCTGCCATGCAGGTGTAGGGGCTCAAGGACTTGGGCCATCTTCTACTGCTTTCCTGGGCCATAGCAGAGAGCTGGATCAGAAGCGGAGCAGCTGGGACTCGAACCAGTGCCCATATGGGATGCCAGCACTGAAGGTGGCAGCTTTAATTGCCTTGCCACAGCACCAGCCCCTACATAGCAATTTTTTAAAAAACTTATTTGCTTATTTGAAAGGCAGAGCAACAAGTATACACACACACACACACACTCATACACACACACATTCCATACACTGGGTCACTCGTCAAATGCTTGTGACAGCTGGGAGTGGGCTAGACTGAAGCCAGGAGCCAGGAGCTCCATCCTGGTCTCCCACATGGGCATCAGAGGCCCGGGTACTTGGCCCATCACCTGCTGTATCTGAGTGTGCACTAGCAGGAAGCCGGACTCAGAAGCAGAGTTGGGAGTGGAACCCAGGCACTTTGAAGTGGCACCTTAACTGCTGTGCCAAATGCTGTCCCCTTAAATAGCAAATGTTTAAAGGCCACCATCAGTCTAGAGGGAGGCTAGCAAAGAGAGGGAAAAGTTTTTCTGCTTTTTGGAGAAGAGATCTCAGATTTTCCAATTTTTTTTTTCTCCTGTATTTGGTAAATTCTGTATGCAGCCCTGGTCATAGCCCAGGCTGTAGTGCACTGGTGGCTGAGCCCTTATACTCTGGCCCTGAAGTCCCAGGTTCAAATCTCTCCTCTACCCATAGAACCTTGTGGCGATGACTCTGGGCCTCAGCTTCCCATCTGTACTATGGTGATAATAACAGCACTCACTTCATAGGGTTGTTGGTGTTAAGTCGCACTATTATTTTAATCATTTTTTTAGAAAAAGATTTCTTTTTTATTTATCAGAAAGATAGAGTCACAGAGAGAGGTAGAGACAGAGAGAGAAGTCTTCCATCTGCTGGCTCACTCCCCAGATAGCCACAACAGCCGGAGCTGGGCTGATCTGAAGCCAGGAACCAGGAGCCTCCTCCAGGCCTGCCATGTGGGTGCAGGGGCCCAAGGACTTGGGCCATCTCCTATTGCTTTCCCAGGCCACAGCAGAGAGCTAGATCAGGAAGTGGAGCAGCCAGGACTTGAACCGGCACCCATGTGGGATGCTGGCACTGCAAGCGGCCTTACCTGCCACGCCACAGCGCCAGCCCTGGTTGTTTATAATCATTTATAGTGTTTGAGATCACTACTCTGGAACCTAGGCGTTAATCCTAGGTTCCCAGACTTGGTGAAGATTTCAAGTGTGTGGACTCCTGCAGCGGCTGTGGGTCTGGGCTCCCAGCCCAAGTCTGGAGTGTGAATTTCCTTTTGTGGCTGCAGGTTCGTGGTTTACAGCTACAAGTACCTGCATGAGGATGGCCGGGTGTCCTACCCTTTGTGTTTCATCTTCTCCAGCCCTGTGGGTGAGACACGGCTCTACTCATCCTGAGGACAGAGTCTTGGATTGCGTGTGTGCACGGAGGGTGTGAGCAGGTGTATGTGAGAGCAGGCATGGGCATGCATGCGGACACGTGTGACTGCACATGTCCGCAGGCACCTGCGTTAGAACGTGAGCGAGGGAGGTGGAGGTGGGGGCTCAGCTCCCTTAAAAGCCCCCACCCCGCCTCAGTTCTGAGGGATACGCTGACAACCCACCTCTCCCTTGTACCCAGAAATCCCTGAGAAGCACTCAAACAAACCCAGAAACCTTGAGTGTAGCCTCCAGGGACCTCCTTAGAAGGCTCCGGGGACCCTCAGGAAGCTGCCAGACCCGAGGAGCATTACTAGGGTTTTTGAGAATGTACCTGCACCCCCAGCCCCCCAGTTATACACCCTACTGTTTTTCATGCAGGCTGCAAGCCCGAACAACACATGATGTACGCAGGCAGTAAGAACAGGCTGGTGCAGACGGCAGAACTCACCAAGGTCTGAGTTAGGCTCTGGGACCTCTGGGAGAAGGGGGCTGGGGGCCTGGACCCCTGGATCTGCGGGGCGGGGGCTTCACCGGGTCACCACGTCGAGATTTGCTCTCTGGCCCAGGTATTTGAAATCCGCACCACCGATGACCTCACCGAGGCCTGGCTCCAAGAGAAGTTGTCTTTCTTTCGTTGACCTCTGGGCAGACTTGGATTCCTGATGTCCGAATCTCCAGTGGACTGGGGACTGGGACCCCTAGCACGTGAACATCCAAGACCCTAAAGGAATTAAAAACGCGAGAACTCAGACGTCCGTTCTGGCACAGTCTCTGCCTCTCAGCGCGAGCCGGAGCCGACAGTTCCTGCAGTACCAGCTTTGCGCCGGCAGGGGGCGGGCAGAGCTCGTGGCACGCAAGCTGGGTTCTGGGGTAGGGGGAGGGATATATTTAAGAGAGAGGAGGGGAAGGGGCTGTAGGGTTTCCTGCGGTGGGGGGGGGGAGGGCTGGGTCTCCCGGGGGAATATCTGGATCCATGGAGGGGTCACTCCTAAGGGGAAGGAGGACAGCTGAGAATAAAGGATGGCTGCATCCCCTGCTCTCCCCCCCACCCTCCACCCCTCCCCAGCTCTGGGGGCGGGCAGACGTTGGCTGGCCTGGAATGCTGAACCCCCAGGTAGGAGAAATTTAAAGGCCAAAGAGTTGTCGAAGGTACAAATGTTGCTTCAGAGGCTTGGGAGTCACTGGGGGTGGCTGGTTGTGCGGTCGCGAGGGCACAGGGCCCAGGGTTTCTGCAGATGTAGAGGATCCGGGGTTCTCGGTGGACCCCTGGAGGGGAGGGGAGGCAGGGAGGGGACACCACGCTCACCCCTGATTGAGGACTCTGCTTTCCTCTGGCATCTCTGGGCCTCTGTCTGTGTCCTGCAGGGACATTTCTTGAGTGCCCACAGTGTACCCGGCTCTGAGACTTCTGAGAGGGGCCGATCTTTGCAGAAGTGAATCACCCCGCTTCTCCTCGATGTCTCTGAGTGTTCCTCTCCCTGTTCCCAGATTCAGGGACCTGGGAACTCCCTCCCCACACCCCACTCCAGGTTCCTTGAAGAGAGGTGGCCGTTGCCATGGTGACAATGACACAGTGACCTTGAGCCTGGGCTGCCCCTCCCCCAATTCTAATGTTGCTGGGGGGGGACAAAAAGCCTAGTAGTTCCAGGTCTGCCTCCTCCCTCCCAGCCATGACATTGGATCCCCTCACCCACCCAGCCCTGTCCCCATCACTGGTTCCGCCCTTTCTCCAGTCAGGACAAGCTCTTGGCACAGAAGACTCAGGGTAGAATCACTCTCCACTGGGACATGGGGAACTTCCACCTGCCCACAAAATTCAGGGAGGGGGCTCCTGTCCTCCCTACGAGAGCCCCCTCCCCCTCCTCATCCGTCTCTCCCTCTGATCATAGCCTCAGTCCCCAATGGCTGGGGATGAAAAAGGATGAGGGCCGTGGACCAGAGGGGACTCTCATCTCAGTGAAGAGGACCAGGAACTACTGGCCTCAGAGACCAGAGAGGCCAGAGAGGCCAAGGGACTTGTCTAGGTCTTTAGGCTTACAGAGGCAAATGAATGAGCCAAGCTGCCTGCTGCAGGCTTCCTATGTGCCAGGCACTTCTACACACTTTTTAATAGGTCTTACAACCCCCCCACCCAATATCCCCAATTCAGAGATGGAATAACTGAGGCACAGAAGCCAAAACCAGGTGCTTGAAGCCACACCTCTGGTGGTCTGTGCAGGCAGAGCTCTGACCTCAGGCTACACTGTGGTCTATGGCTACACCCTCTCTTAGGCAACAGATGTAGCCCGCCCCCCATCGTTGAACTTCTGTTTGCACCTAGGCTCCTGATTGCAAACAATCCAATCAGAAATAGGCATGGATAAAAATTTTGCCCAATCAGGAGCAGAGAGTTTGGAAAACAGGGACCAATCAGAGAGGGTGACTCAGAAAGGCACACTAATAGGCAATGGCTAAGGAATTGTGGAAGAACCAATCAGAGAGGCCAGAACAGAGCACACTGTCCAATGAATAGTCATCACCTGGGGCGTGGCTTAGGGTTGGGAAAGAGTCTGATGGGTGATACAAACTGGGACCACCTCTTCTCCTTCTAGCAGCCCACCCCCGACCTCCTGCAGATCTGAGTTCCCTGTTTTGTGTGTCCCAGCCCTAGACGTCTCCTGTGGTGCTTCTCCCTGCCAACCTTGACTGTGAACTTGGCTTCCTTGGAGAGGCAGAGACCCAGCCTGGGCTCTAAATTAGTGTGCAGGTGGAGGGGTGGAGTCGGGTTAGGGGTGGGGCTTAGACTTGTGGGCAGGGCCTAAAGTGAGGAAGGCTGAGTATTAGACACTCCGGATTGGTCTCTACGTGGAGGTGTGGGGCTCCCACAGAATGCTGGTGTCTCTTACATCAATCAATCAGATTGATAGAGCTGGAGTTTTTGCTTGGGTGGAGCCCCAAAGACAGAAGGTGGGGCATCAGCTTAGGGGCAGGGCCTAAATAGTAGGGTTTGCATTGGTAGGTCTGTGCTGGAATTAGATTTTTTTTAAGTTTTTTTTTTTTTATTTGAAAGAGTTACAGAGAGATGTAGAGACAAAGATAGAGGTCCTTCATCCACTGGTTCACTCCCCAGTTGGCCGCAATGACCGGAGGTGCACAGATCTGAAGCCAGGTGCCAGGAGCCTCTTCCAGGTCTCCCACGTGGGTACAGGGACCTAAGAGCCTGGGCCATCCTCCACTGCTCTCCCAGGCCACAGCAAAGAGCTGGATCGGAAGTGGGGCAGCCAGGACTTGAACCAGCACCCGTATGGGATGCCGGCACTGCAGGCGGCAGCTTCACCCTCTGTGCTGCAAGCTGGCCCCTGGGATTAGGTTTTCAAGGATACATTTACACTATTTGCTTCTGCCCTTTGCCCTCTTTTTGAGGCCGACTCACTTCCTGACCTCATGGGACATTCCCCAGCCCCTGAGTTACTCCCCCTGCCTTCTAGGGACCCCCCCCCCCAAGGGGAAAGTTGTGTTTATCCTTCCTTGGGAGTCTGCAGTGAGCCCTTCCCAGAGCACACTCAAGAACAAGTTCAGGGGTGGGCATTTGGTGTGGTGTGGTCCAGACACCGCTGGGACCCCCGCGTTCCGAATTGAGGGTCTGTGTTCCAGTCCCGGTTCCACTCCTGTTCCAGCTCCCTGCTCATGAGCACACTGGGAGGCAGCAAGTGATGGCTCAAGGGGTCGAGTCCCTGCCACCTGCATCGGGGACCTGGATTGAGCTCCAGCCCCCCGAGCTGAGCTTAGGCCTGGTCCAACTCCGCCTACTGTGGACATTTGGGGAGTGAACCAGTGGATGGGAACTTCTTTCTTTATTTTTTTTAAAGATTTTTTATTTATTTATTTGACAGGTAGAGTTATAGACAGGGAGAGAGAGAGAGACAGAGAGAAAGGTCTTCCTTCCATTGGTTCACTCCCCAAATGGCTGCCACAGCCGGTGCTGTGCTGATCCGAAGCCAGGAGCCAGGTGCTTCTTCCTGGTCTCACACGCAGGTGCAGGCGCCCAAGCACTTGGGCCATCCTCCACTGCCCTCCCGGGCCACAGCAGAGAGCTGGACTGGAAGAGGAGCAGCCAGGACTAGAACCTGGTGCCCATATGGGATGCTGGTGCTGCAAGCAGAGGATTAGCCAAGTGAGCCACAGCCCCGGGCCCTTTATTTTTAATGTTTATTTTATTTATTTGAAAGGCGGACTTACAGGGAGGGAGTAGGTAGAGAAGAGAGATTTTCCATCCGCTGCCTGACTCCCCAACAATTACTATGAAAAATTTCATACATGCTGCAAAATTGAGATAGTCTTACAGTGAACACCTGTATACCTACCTCCCAGATTAATATCCTACTGTACTTGCTTTATCTCCACCCATTCATGTCTCCATCAACAGACTTTATTTTTTTTTATCTGTTTGGAAATAATTTGCAGGCATAAGAATACTTGGTAGGGACTGGGGTGTGTATGTAAAATGGAAATGGAAAGGGCTAGCACTGTGGCATGGTAGGTCATGCCTCTGTCTGCGGCACTGGTTGGTTTCCTGGCTGCTCCTCTTTCAATCCAGCTCTCTGTTAATGTGCCTGGGAAGGCAGCAGAACTCGGGCCCCTGCACCCATGTGGGAGACCCGGAAGAAGATCCTGGCTCCTGGCTCCTGGCTTCAGATCAGCCCAGCTCCAGCCATTGCAGCCATCTGGGGAGTGAACCAGCAGATGGAAGACCTCTCTCTCTGTCTGTAACTCTGCCTCTTAAATAAATCAATAAATGTTTAAAAGGAAAAGGAAGGTGTCTCTGAAGAGCACATTTGAGGTATGACCTGGCAGCCATGCAAAGGCCCAGGGGCCGCTGTGTGCTAGTGTCTTGAAGGCTGCACAAAGTTATCCCGGAAGCTGGAAGATGAGAGTGGTTGAGAATGACCTCAAAGGGTCAGCAGGGAACCAGAGAGACCGATGAGTGAGGCTGGCGCAGCTGGGCTCGCCTGCTCTTGAGTTCTCCTCCTCTGTATATCTTGATCTCTCACTACCTTTTTTCCACTCACCCTTCCTTCCCCGCTCCTGTCCAGCCCAGGTTTGCCTGCTGCCACCCTCTTTCTCCCTCACCCTCATCCTGTCCTGCTGTTTACTATGTGTGATCTCTGTGACCTTGGGCAGGTGACCAAATCTCTCTGCGCCTCAATTTTCCTCATCCATAAAATGGGGACCTCTTCATCTGGCTGAGGATGGAAAGAAGTAATCTAAATAAACTCTGAGAACCATTCCTGGCACAGAGCAGAGCTGTAACCTGTGTTATGCTTTGTTGTCTTCCACTTTCCCTTCTTTCCTGCCCTGGACCCCCAGGGCCTCAGCAGGGGGAGCACTTGGAAACCAAGGCAGGGAGGCAGGAGTGGTGCCTGGGTGCTGGTGATGATGGCTGGAGTCTGGGGAGAAAGGGGATTGTGAGCATCCGCAGGGGTCAAGGGTCACCAGAGGGAGGTGCTGCAGGGTTGAGCCTGCAGGGTAGGGGTGCAGGGCAGGCTTTAGGAGGAAGCATTCAGGGAGGGGTTTGGAAGGGGATCCATAATGAGCAGGGTTTGGGCTCTGGGGCTCTGGCAGGTGCAAAGGGAGACTTGCCCTGTGACAAGGTAGAAAGAGGTGGAAGTGGCCTGAGATCCTTGGTCGGGTGCAAGGGAGGGGCTTGGAGGCTGTCACTGCAGCAGGGGTCTGCAAAGGCTCTGAACAAAGGAGGTGCCAGGGCCTTGTGGATGTCCCAGGGAGGGGGCCCAGGAGTGAGGACAGCTACAGGGAGGGGCCGAGGTCCTCGAGGGGGTGAGCCTGCTGGGGGATGGGAAAGAATCTAGGGCAAATCTGGGGTCTGGGAGCCAAAGGGTGCCTTAGAGGGGCGTGGGAGAGAAAGGTCGAAGGTCCCCAGGGGCTGGAGGGTGGTTTGAGATCCAAGGGGCAGGGGTCGTGAGGAAGGGTTCAGGGTCTCTGAAGGGGAATAGGAGACATTTGGGGGCCCATTCCAGGGATTAGACATGGTTTGGAATCCCTACTGGGGGTCCCTGAGGGTGGAAGGACATAGCTGGGGTTCCCCAGGAAGAAGTCGGCTGTGGGACGTGTCCGGGGTCCCAAAGGGAGCAAGGCAGGACCTGGGGTCTCTTGGGGTGTCAACTTAAGGTCTGGGGTCCCTGAAGATTGGGGTGTGGTCTGGAGTATGATTTAGGGTTCCTGTGGGGCAGTCTGCATCCCCGTGGATGCTGGGATATGGCCTGTGGGTCTCTGGTCTTGGGGGCAGCGTCCAGGGTCCCTGACCGGGTGTGGGCAGGGGCTGAGGTCACCAAGGAGAGCAGGACGTGATCTGATCTGCCACGCTGGGTGGCTCAGCAACACAGTCTGGGGCTTGGGAGGAGGTGAGGCCTGGTCTGAGGACCCCCTGGGCACTAGGACGTGATCAGACACCCCCGTGGCGAGATCCGGGGTCCCCATGCCCGTTGGGGCGTGGCCTGGGGGGGGTCTCTGGGGAGGCCGGCGGGGCCAGGGGGTGGGGCTGGGGAGGGGTCGGGGGCGGGCCCGCCGCGGCTCCGCAGTGGCCAGGGGTCTGCGGCGGCCCGGGGCGGGAGTCTGGGGCGTGCGGCCGCCCCCTCCGGTCGGCGCCCCCTCCCCCCCTTGCGGCGGCGGCGGCGGCGGCGGGGCTCGGGCGGCGGGCGGCGCGGAGGGCGGAGCTCGGCGGCGGCTCGGGAGGGAGGGCGGGAGGCGGGAGGGAGGCGGCCCCGCGGCACCGCGCCCCCTCCCCCGGCCCTCCCCCCACCATGGCGCGGAGCGAGGCGGCGGCGGCGGGGCCGGGCCCCGGGCCCCCCCGGGCTGGGTGAGCGCGGCCCGCAGCGGCCCGGGCGGGGCGGGCGGGGGCGCCGGTGTGAGCGCGGCGTGAGTGTGAGTGTGAGTCCGCGGCGCTGCGGCGGCCCGGCGTGCGCCCGCGCGGCCCTGTGTGTGCCCGGCGCCGCCGGCGTGTGCGGCGCCCTGCTTGTGTGGCCATCCGGGTGTGTGCGGCCGTGCGCGTGTGTCCCCCCGAGCCGCTGCCCCTGCGCCTGGGGGGGGGTGGCGGGGGGCTGTCGCGCGCCCCTCGGAGGCGCTGAGTGCAGGTGTGTGTGCGTGGGTTGTGTGCCCAGGTGTGGGTTCCCCCAGCCAGTGTGGGTGCGCGGCGAGCTGCGTTGGGTGTTTGTGTCCGGGTTGGATGTCCATCCGAGGGCCTGTGTAGCCGGGTGTGCCCACTCGGGTGTCCGTGTATGTGTGTGTGTGTGTGTGTGTGTGTCTGCGGGTTGTATGTCTCCGAGGGTGTGTGTCTGTGAGTCCGCACCAGGTGCCCTGCCGGGGGCTGAGGCTCGGCGCCGTGTGGGTTCAGGCCTCTCCCTGGGCTTGGGGGAGGGGAGTTCTCCGCTTTCCCGGTCCGTGTCAACTGGGGGTCCTCCGCGGTCCATGGGGGAGACGGCCATGTCTTCCCCTTCCCGGTGGCTGGGGAGGGGGAAGGGCGGCCAGGAGGTGGACAGATGGAGGGATGAGAGGCCGAGGGATGGACAGATGGGCCCTGGGGTGGGGAGGCGAGACCTGGCCCTTCCCCACCCACCGCCCCACCCTCCTTCCCCCACCGGCAAGAGCTGCAGATGGGGCCAGGCTGGGGGACCTTTGGGGCTGCGGGTGGGAGGATCTCCTTGGAGTGGTGCTCCAGGATTCAATTCCCTAACTCTCGGGGATTGCACCTGCTGAACTCTGACCTTTGGCCCTGGCTTGTGCCTTGGTTTATTTGGGGGGGTGGGGTGGGTGCAGAATGTGCTAGCAGGATGTTGGGATCTCTGGCCTGGGAAGTAGGTGGGGGGGTGCCTCACCTCAGGGCTGGGAGGGTTGTATGTCCATGGTGGTGTGTGTGAATGGGCCTGTTGTTGATGAATCCACCCACATTGGACAATACCCTGGCAGGACTGTTGTCAGTGAACAGCTGGGAGTGTCTGTCAGCCTTGTGAGCGCCTGTGCACGCTTGTGGTCCTGTGTGTGTGTGAGCTCATATCTGCATGTGTGTAGCTGCTGGTGTGGCACTGGGGCAGCCGTGTGACCGTGGGAATATGTGAAGTTGCATGAGTATATTTGGGCACTTGAGAGTGTGCACCTGTGCAGCTTTGGTTGTGCAGGTGTGTGTGTGAGTGCCCTGATATGCTGGTGAGTGTGCAAGGTGTACCTGCTATAGGTGCATGTACCTGGTTGTCTATTAGGGGACACATGTGTTTTTCTCTGTTGTCTCTGTGGGTGTGAACATGCAAGGGAAAGTCAGTGCTCTGTGTGTGTGTGTTGTATGCAGGTGCGTCAACCTTGAGGGTGTGTGTCCATCTATGCTGGGAGTCTGTGAGGGCTTCAGGGTTGGTCTCTGGGGAGGAGAGTTGTGTGTGGTTAAACATGCATGGGCAGGGCACCCTGGCACAAGGCTGACCTCCCTTCTGGGCCCAGTGGGATCGAGGCCCAGGTGGCGGGACCTGTGGTATGCTAGGGAGCAGCCTGGGGTCCCTGGGCACAAGTGTGTCCACATGCAGGGCCAAGCGCCCGGGGTGGGTCGGAGCACACAGCTCCTGCTGGCGTGTCCGCTGCAGTCTGGATGTGGAGCCTCAGGCCGCAGACCCATGTGGGTTTGACAGGTCCACGCTTGTTGGTGTGGGCAGTGATGTGACGGCAGAGACTGGAGTCTCTGGGCTCCCCTAGCTCCTGGTACCAGGCAGGTCCTTGAGGTTGGGGTGCTCAGATGTGAACTTTCAGGTTCTAAAGGAGGACCAGGAGAAGTATGTGGTCCAGACTCCTGGGTCTGAGGAAGAAGAAGCCTGTGAACTTAGAAGGGCTGGGTCCCAGGCTGTAGGATCTGGGGTGCTGAGGGGTCTGGGGCCCCTGGCTCCTGAAACCCTGGGGATAACGGGCTGAAGTTGTGGTTTTCCGGGGTTTGGAGCCCATTCTGGATTTCCAGAGACGCCTCTGGGTCCCTCTGAGGCTGTGCAGAACCATCTCCCAGGGGAGGTCCTTGGTGGCCGGAAAGGAGCAGGAAAGATGCTAACAGGGTGGTTTTGTTCCTTTGCAGGTACTGGCCCAGGCCCTGACTCCCTGAAGAGAGGTGAGTGGATAGGGTCAGGGGCGATGGGACTTGTTCCGAGCCTGCTGGGGCCCGGAGCCCTGCCTCGTGTGGATTTCAGTGCAGGGTGCTGCGGGGACCTGCGGGGCCCAGTGCCTCCTGCCTGGCCCCAGGCTGGGATCAGTGGCGAGGTTAGGAGCATGGGGCTGGGTAAAGGCTTCTGGATGCAGGAGGGCACCAGGAGCCACTCCCCCCCCACCCCCGGTCAGGTCAGGAAAGGGTGGGTTTCTATATGGCACCAGGAAAGGGGGAGGAGAGCTTGGTGATGTGAAGTGACCCTGGTATGGGGGGCTAATGAGGTACCATTTTGTGCATGGATGTGGGAAAATCTCCTGAAAGTCTGACCTGCTGATGGCTGAGAGAGAGGCAGAGAACTGAATAAAAAATTAATAATCACAATGATAATAATACCAACAGCAGCCACTGACAGTCATGTCGTGTTTACTTTGTCAGGCACAGTGCTAAGTACTTAATAAAATAGTGTCTCACTGACGCACAGAGCAGCCCTAGGATGCGGGTGCTGCCATTACCCCCTTTTACAGATGAGCACACTGAGGCCCAAAGAAGAGAAATCACTTGACTCGAGTCACCCAGCCGGGAGCTAACTGGAGTATGAACCCAGGTTCTGGGGTTCAGGTTCTGTCCCACGGTGCTGCACTGGCTCTCCAGAAAGCTTAGCTATTTTCACTGCTATTATTCTTCCTTCAATTTGAGTCCCACCCTGGCTGTGGGAGGCAAAGCTGTGTACTTGTGTTTTATAGATTGGGGTTGTGAGCCCTGGAGACCCCGCCGCCAGGCAGGCGCAAAGCTTTCTGGGCCAGGTTTCTCAGCCTCATCCAGCTGCATCCTGGAGAGAGTGGTGGGGGGATGCCCCGTCTCTTTTTCTCTCTTCAACCCTGTCTCTCTCTCTTTCGGTCTTTGTCTCTCTAGTACCTCATTTCCCTCTGCCTGGCTCTCCCTCCCTGCCTCTGTCTGCCTCAGTCCTTTCCTGGCCTCTCTGCACCTCCCTGGGACTTTCTCGGTCCCAGTCCCAGTCCCCCTTCCCCATGGGTGGAAAGATCAAGGCCACATAAGGCCACAGTCCCAAACACAGATTTCTGGGAGGTGAGCCTGCCGGGACTGGAGTTCAGGGCAGGGTAGGGTGAAGCAGCTTCAGGGACGCCCCCTTCCCAGCCTTCCCTCCTCACCCCCTCCCACCCCATGTTGTGATGGGAGCTGACATGTCGTGGGCTGCAGCCGCCGCAGGGGGAATCCCTGCCGGAAGGTTTTGCCTAGAGCAGAGGCATAGCGGGAGTGTGTGAGTGTGAGTGTGCGTGTAGGCACGTATGGGGCCTTGTGATACCCGCTGATGAGAGCAGGGGAGTCTGCCCTGCTGGGGAGCTCTGCAGAGCCCAGGGTGAAACCAGACCCAGAGAAGGACTTCTGGGGCTGCGCTGGGCGACTCCAGAGCCTGTATCCCAAGCCCTCCCACCTTGGTGCTCTGTCCTCCACTGCCAGAGGTGGGGTGGGGGTGGGGGTGGGGGTGAGGGGTCCTCACGGTGACTGAGAGCTCTCTGTGTGCTGGGCCCTGCCGTGGTTCTCATGAGTGAGCGCAGGAGGGCTCAATTGTCACCCCAACGCACAGCTCTAGAAATCCTAGCCTAGAGAGGGGAGATCATTGACTTGGGGTCACACAGCTAGCAAAGGGAGGGGCCAGCATTTAGACCGAGCCTGTTTGATTTCAAAGGACTCACTCTTCAAAACTGCTTAGTTCTAGGCCTGGCACATTTTAGGCACTTAGTAATGGCAATCACACCAATTGCTAGCATGAGCTAGTTTTGTGTGCCAGGCACTGTTTTGCATAGAATACAGTTTTGAATCCATTCAATCCTCCCAGAAATAAGGTCTGCTTCTGTCTCTTTTACAGATGAAGAAACCCAGATTCAGAGAGGTTCAGACACTTGCCCGAGGTCACACAGCTAGTAAGTGTCAGAGCTGGGATTTGAACTGGGAGAGTATGGCTTTGACACCCATGGGCCTTGAACCACAGTCAACGGTGATTTTCCAAACATTTAGTGGACACAGGAGGGCTCAGACTGGCCCAGGTGTCAACCCTGGGGTTGGGAGCTCCTCCAGGAGGGGCAGGGGTGGGGGTGGCCTCTCAAGGGAGGGGCACTGGTCCTTTCCCACCCAGCTTGGAAGCAAGCTTAGTGAGTTAACCAGGCTGGTGATGAGTGCTGGCACTGACCTGGAGGACCCAGCTGTTGGGGGGTTGGAGGGGAGGTGATCATCCTGGGGCAGCCAGGTTCCAGGCCTGGATGCCTCTCCTTCGCTGGCAGGTCTCACCTCCCACTCCTCCTGTCTTCTCACCGCACCATGGCTCCGGGCCCCTTCTCCTCGGCGCTCCCCTCGCCACCACCTGCTGCCCTACCTTTCCTGCTGCTGCTCTGGGCGGGGGCATCTCGCGGCCAGCCCTGCCCCGGCCGCTGCATCTGCCAGAACGTGGCGCCCACGCTGACCATGCTGTGCGCCAAGACGGGTTTGCTTTTCGTGCCGCCGGCCATCGACCGGCGCGTGGTGGAGCTGCGGCTTACCGACAACTTCATCGCGGCCGTGCGCCGGCGGGACTTCGCCAACATGACCAGCCTGGTGCACCTCACCCTCTCCCGCAACACCATCGGCCAGGTGGCGGCAGGCGCCTTCGCGGACCTCCGTGCCCTCCGCGCCCTGCACCTGGACAGCAACCGCCTGGCGGAGGTGCGCGGCGACCAGCTCCGTGGCCTGGGCAACCTCCGCCACCTGATCCTAGGCAACAATCAGATCCGCCGGGTGGAGTCCGCGGCCTTCGACGCCTTCCTGTCCACCGTGGAGGACCTGGATTTATCCTACAACAACCTGGAGGCCCTGCCCTGGGAGGCAGTGGGCCAGATGGTGAACCTGAACACCCTTACGCTGGACCACAACCTCATCGACCACATCGCCGAGGGCACCTTCGTGCAGCTTCACAAGCTGGTCCGCCTGGACATGACGTCCAACCGCCTCCACAAACTGCCGCCTGACGGGCTCTTCCTGAGGTCGCAGGGCACGGGGCCCAAGCCGCCCACGCCACTGACCGTGAGCTTCGGCGGCAACCCCCTGCACTGTAACTGCGAGCTGCTGTGGCTGCGGCGGCTGACCCGGGAGGACGACCTAGAGACGTGCGCCACCCCTGAGCACCTCACCGACCGCTACTTCTGGTCCATCCCCGAGGAAGAGTTCCTGTGCGAGCCCCCGCTGATCACGCGGCAGGCGGGCGGCCGGGCCCTGGTGGTGGAGGGCCAGGCGGTCAGCCTGCGCTGCCGGGCTGTGGGCGACCCCGAGCCCGTGGTGCACTGGGTGGCCCCCGACGGGCGGCTGCTGGGGAACTCCAGTCGGACCCGGGTCCGGGGGGACGGCACCCTGGATGTGACCATCACTACGCTGCGGGACAGTGGCACGTTCACTTGCATCGCCTCCAATGCCGCGGGAGAAGCCACGGCGCCCGTGGAGGTGTGCGTGGTGCCTCTGCCGCTGATGGCGCCCCCGCCGGCCGCTCCCCCACCCCTCACGGAGCCCGGCTCCTCTGACATCGCCACGCCCGGCCGGCCTGGTGCCAACGACTCAGCGGCCGAGCGGCGGCTGGTGGCCGCGGAGCTCACGTCCAGCTCGGTGCTCATCCGCTGGCCGGCGCAGAGGCCCGTGCCCGGCATCCGCATGTACCAGGTCCAGTACAACAGCTCGGCGGATGATTCCCTCGTCTACAGGTGCGTGTTGGCGCCGTAGCCCCAAGACCTCTTCCCAGACCCCGGGGGCTCTCCCTCGCACCTGCCCGCCTCTTTGGCCTTGGCGTCCGCCCAGACCCTAGCTGGCGGTGTGGAGTAGGAACTACACCGCCATACGTTTAGTTACATTTATCAGGGGATGCACCAGTACTACTAGAGCAACACACTGGTTACATTGCGGAAACAGAAACAAAGTTTGAGAAAATAGAAACAAGTTATTTCCACTCCCCCCCTGGGATAGACACCATTCATTGCCCTGGTGTATGCAGACTTGCGTGGTGTAGACAGACATCAACAGGTTCCTTTGTCCCTTCATCGCCATGATGTTTTTGCTCTTGTATCTCTGGCCATCTCTACCTTCCGGCCCTCTGAACCTCATTAGGTGCTCACCCCTGCTCCATGCCAGGCCTTGGAGACACAGAGAGGTCAAGAGACGCAGTCCCTGTCCCCAGGGAGCCCAGAGCCCAGTGGCAGGAGGCATGCACTGCACTGTGGGTTACTACTGCCTTTGCCTCTTGGCATGGCACACAGTAGGCGTGCACACATAGTATGCACTTGATAGATGTTTGTCCATGGTGTGGGTATCCCTCCTCCTGTCTCTGCCTCTCTAGTGCACATTGTAGCACCTGCTGCATGCCAGCCCAGTGCTGGACTTTAGCTGGAAGTACCAGAGGGATTAGAAGCATTTCCCTGTCTGTGGGGAGTCCCAGTTCTTGGTGCGCTCAGACGGCCATTGAGCAGCTTTCTCCGTGGCTGCCATCCTCACCTTCCCCTCTGTTCTCTTGGCCGCAGGCCTGGTGCATAGTAGGCACTTTCTCCTTGTTGGTTGAAAGAATAAATGCCTCCCTTTCCCCTTTGCTTCTATCTTCCTCAATTTACTTTTTGAATTCTGGTCACCAGACACTGAATAAATGAATGCCTACTGTGTGCCAGACCCCTGCTGGGCCCTGGGGTCTCTGGAGATAGACCGGAGGCTGGCTCAGTCCCACGAATGTCAGGGCAAGCGAGCGAACAACACAGAAACGTTCACAGGAAGCTTCCAGCACTGCTGCCTCGTTTGATTTTCCCTGCTCTGCTACAAAGTGGGGATGGCCCGCCCCTTCTCCCATTTTACAGACAGAGAAACTGAGGCTTAGCAAGGGAAGTCACTTGCCCAAGGTCACACAGAAAGTGGCCCAGTTGTCCCTTTTTATAAACACATATCTGTTGAGCACCTACTGTTTGCAAGGCAGGACCGGAGGGGAGGTGGATGACACTTTCCTGTGGAAGCTGTTCCTGTGACTCCAGCTCTCTGTTTCTCTCTGACCCGTGGCCACCATACAGCAGGGTCAGGGTAGCTTCACGGGGCCCCAGATCCTGCCTGTTCACAGATGTCGATGGCTCCCTGCCCCCAGCTGGGCAGCAGACCCCACTGGGGTCTTCCTTTCATTTTAGGGCCATGATTCAGTCCTTCGTCCCCCACTGCAGAGGCCTGCACTCAGGCGCTGCAGGGGTTAACTGCCGCACGGCCGCCATGGGCTGAGGTGACATCCAACCAGAAGCTGGCTCTGCTGCTTGCTCCCCTCTTGCAGCCAATTAGAGACACAGAGGCTCAAGCTCTCTTAAGGAGCCAGCTTCTGTCCTTGAAAAGTAGGGGGGGGGGCGTCCCTATCAACTGGTTATTTGGGGGAAGGGATCAAGAGGAATCCAATGCTCTGTGGGGGAAGTGTGGAGGGGAAGAGGAAGACCTAGAGCCAGGGGGGCCAGGGGTGGCAGTGGGCTTTGAAAGGCTGGTAGGGGAAGAGGTTGGGGTGGGGAAGTGGGCTGGCCTTCTTGAGGGGCGGCACCCTTGCCTGAAGTCCTTGGTGGAGGGTGGCCTCTGGTGGTGGAAAGACCTCCAGCTTGTGGGAGGTAAGCAGGACCCCAGACAGACGTGGGGGTGTGGAGCTTCCTTAGAAGTGGTCCTTGGGCTGCTTCAGCTGAGGCTGGACACGGCCAGGATGGAAAGGATGTGTTTAAGAGAGGAGGGCCCAGGCCTGCATGGGACACAACTGGGTGTACTGAGGGCTGGGCTTTGGCTATGTTAACCCATTCATTCCTCATAGTGCCTCTACGGGGTGGGGATTCTCACTATCACCGTTTGAGGAAAATGCTGCAGAGCGGTTGTGAGACTTGCCAGAGGTCTCAGAGCTAGTTTGGAGAGGAGAGTTGGAAACCCAGGTGGTCTGCTCCCAGATTTTGTCAGCTTACCCACTCTATGCTGCCTCCCACTTTGGGGGGACACTAAGACAGGGGTGTGTTTGCTTGCCTACGCTTGACCCAGTTAGGTATGAGACTTACCTGGGAGCAAGATTTGGTGACCTCTGTCAGTGCCAGGTTGGGCACGTACCTAAGGCAGCGGTTGTCTTCAGTGTCTGGACAAGGAGCAGAGTATGCAAACAGCAGACTTGGTCCCAGACCCCCGTTCCTAGGAGGCCACTGTGGGGTGTGGCTTGGACGAGCTCTGTGGAAGGGAATGGGCTATAGCAATGACCCATTAATGGGTGGGAATACTCAGTAGAGCGGCTTGGAAACTGTGCCAGAAGAGACACATTACACGGAAGCTAGATGTTTTACCCTCAGATGGGACATGCAGATGAGGGGGAGTGGCCTGCATCACGGCTTCTCATTTGCATAAAAGAGGAACTAGAAGAGCCCACAGCGTCCCTGTAAGGAATCAGCCTGGTGTCACCTGAGTGGGGGGTGGGGATGCGGATGACGGGGGTGTGGCCTGTAGCCTCGGTCCCCTGAAAAAGTAGATGTTAGTAGATGAGGGTGCTTGAGCGGTGGTTGTCCTAGGAATGACACTGCTAGACAGCGTGCCCCCTGCAGGCGGGATGTGAGAGCCACCCAGGGGCCAGTCTGTGCCAGTGAGGAAAGGTAAGTGCTGGATACTGTCCCAGTGGGTGGGTGTGAGGGCGGGGCATGCATATTTGGGGCGTGGTCTGAGGCTGTGACTCCCCCACCGTAGAGGGTGGGAATATTCGGTGCAGAGGGGCTCCAACGGCTGCTGCAGAGGCGGGAGAGACACCAGTAGCAGGATTGGGTCCGCACCAATCACCGTGGGCGGGGCATAGCGCAAAGGGGCGTGGCGCAGCATAGGCTAACTCCGCCCTGGTCCCGCCCCCTCCTGCAGGATGATCCCGTCCACCAGCCAGACCTTCCTGGTGAACGACCTGGCGGCGGGCCGCGCCTACGACCTGTGTGTGCTGGCCGTCTACGACGACGGGGCCACTGCCCTGCCGGCCACGCGAGTGGTGGGCTGCGTGCAGTTCACCACGGCCGGCGACCCGGCGCCCTGCCGCCCGCTGAGGGCCCATTTCTTGGGCGGCACCATGATCATCGCCATCGGGGGCGTCATCGTCGCCTCGGTCCTCGTCTTCATCGTTCTGCTCATGATCCGCTACAAGGTGTACGGCGACGGGGACGGCCGCCGCGGCAAGGGCACGTCCAGGGCGCCCCCACGGGTCAGCCACGTGTGCTCGCAGACCAACGGCGCAGGGGCGCCGCAGGCCACGCTCCCGCCGGCGCAGGACCGCTACGAGGCGCTGCGCGAGGTGGCGTCGCCGGCGGCCGTCGAGGCCGCGGCCCAGGCGGCTTCCGTGGAGGCGGAGGCGGCCCTCGGACGCTCTCTGGGCGGCTCGGCCACCTCGCTGTGCCTCCTGCCGTCGGAGGAGACTTCCGGCGAGGAGTCCCGGGCCGTCGCGGGCCCTCGGAGGAGCCGTTCGGGGGCCCTGGGGCCGCCCGCTTCGGCGCCCCCCGCTCTAGCTTTGGTTCCCGGGGGCGCGTCGGCCCGGCCGAGGCCTCAGCAGCGCTATTCCTTCGACGGGGACTACGGGGCGCTCTTCCAGAGCCACAGTTACCCGCGCCGCGCCCGGCGGACAAAGCGCCACCGCTCCACGCCGCACCTGGACGGGGCCGGAGGGGGCGCGGCCGGGGAGGATGGAGACCTGGGGCTGGGCCCGGCCAGGGCGCGCCTGGCCTTTACCAGCACCGAGTGGATGCTGGAGAGTACCGTGTGAGCGGCGGGCGGGCGCCAGGACGCCGGGGAGCCGCGGACCAACGCCGCCGTCGGACCGGCCGGGAGCGGCGCCCTCCCCACACTCCTCCTCCTCCTGTTCCACCCCCGGGAGGGGCGGGGCCTCCCGGCTGCGGCTCGAGGCCACGCCCCCACGCCCTGTGGCTTGGGGGGAGGGGGCTGCCGGCCTCCCCTCCCCGCGGGCCCCTCGCCCCGTCCCGGCCCTCCCCCCCGCGCGCTCGCGGACCTCGCTGGAGCCGGTGCCTTACACAGCGAAGCGCGGGGAGGGGCAGGGCCCCCCCGACACTGCAGCACTGAGACACGAGCCCTCTCCCCCAGCCCGGGACCGGGGCCGGGGAGAGGGGCCCATTTCTTGTATCTGGCTGGACTAGATCCTATTCTGTCCCCGCGGCGGCCAACAGAGCCCCCACCCTCACCCCACTCAGCGCCCTGGTCCCATCGGGTCTGGCTTGGGGTCCCCTTTCCCTGCCCCGCCCCGTCTGTCTCACTCCCACTCTGTCTGTCTGCCGTCTCTGTCCCTTGTCTCCTCTCCCTCCGCCCTCTCTTGTTGAGTCCGGTGTCCCTGTCTCTCCCGATTTCGCCGCCGCGCTACCCATTCTCCCGGGCGGGTCCCACCGGAAGGATCAGACTCTCCCCTACTCCTTCCTTGTCCCCCCAGGTAAATCCCCACACGAACAAAGTCCAAAACCAAATCCCCTCCGTACCGGAGTCGGGACCCTCCGCCGCAGCAGAATTAAACTTTTTTCTGTGTCCGAGGCGGCTCTGCTCGTGTGTGTGTGTGTGTGTGTGTGTGTGTCCGTGTGTCCTGGGGCAGGGCCCAGGTCTCTGCTCAGGATTCTGGGGGGGGGGGGGTGTTGAAGGAAAGGCAAGTGACTAACCCCGGGCTGGGGGGAGAGGGAGACTCCTGGAGAGGCCTAGAGCTGGGGATACTCACAAAAATAAAGTCATAGCTCACGGGCACCCTGGGACATCTGCTTTCCAGGGGAGGCCCACCGGGTCTCAGAATCAGAGGTAGCAAAGCAGACTCTAAAAAGGCAGGCGGGCCAGGTGAGCCCGCGCTCTTGGCCACAGCACGCCACTGCTGAGCAGTTATTAAATGTGCGCTAGGAGATCTGACTCTCTGCCCCATCTTACAGGAATCTGAGCCGCTTTTGCCTGAGGTCTCTCCCACCTCCCATGAAAACTAGCGGAGCTGGTGGCCTGACCTCCACCCAGGCTGCTGTGCTGCCTCCGGGGTCTGTCTGGAGGCTGGGCCCAGGCTGGGGCTGGGGGACAAGGGCGAGCTCTGGAGTCTGCTTCTGTCTGGAGTCTGAAGCAGAGGTCTGTGTGCGGGGGCGTGGGGAAGGGGCCATGCAGGTGCATCTGAGGGCTGTGGCACGGAGGAGAAGCTGGTGGGCGCAGGTAGGGCAGGTATCCCCTTGCCAGGGCCCTGCACTGAAAGCATCCTGATCCCGGGGAAGAGGGAAGAGGCTTCGAGCCAGGCAGGGGCCCCCTGAGGCCCGGGGAGGAGGAGGGAGAGACAGAAATAGCAACGGAGCAGGCGGGTGGAGGATGGATCTGGGCAGACGAGGTGGGAGGCAGCAAGGACAGAAGCACCAGAGAATCACAGGCCAGCGGCTCCCTCACCCTGCAGCCCAGCCTCCCTCCCCTCTGCCAGCCCTGGGCTCTCAGGCCTCACCTGGTGCATGAGCAGGGAGTTACAGCCCCACATCTGCCACATCGCACAGGGGAAGAGTCCCTCTGATGACGAGTGAGAACTCCTTTTCAACCTGCCACAGAGAGGTGCTGTGTGCATGAGGAAACAAGCTCAGAGAGGTTGAGGAGTTTGCCTAAGACCACACAGCAGTCAACGGCAGAGCTGTGGCTGGGCGGTAGACCGCCTACACCAAGCTGTCAGCCTACGCGGCCTTTGATTCCCTTGATGAGGCTTCGTTGAGGGGTACTATGTGCCTGGTCCAAATGCAGGGGCTACAGCAATGAACAAGAAAGTTCTGCCCCAGGGAGCTGGCGTTCTAGAGGCAAGAGGATGTCAATCAATGAGCAAGGACATAATGAGTTTCAGGGCCATGCGCAGGGGATGCCTGGGAGGCCTGTTTCAGAGGGCATCAAGGAGAGTGATGCATTGTCGGAAAAGCATTTCAAACAAAGAGAGTGGCATGTGCAAAGGTCCTGGGGCAGATGCATCCTTGGTATGTTGAAAGAATTGGACTGGAGGGATGGGAGAGTGAGAGGAGAAACGGTTAGAGAAGCAAGCGGGGAGCGGATTCTGCAGAACCTTGTGGGCTGTGGTCAAAAGTGAACTTTTTTCTTCAGAACTGTGGGAAGCCAATGGAAGATTTTCTGTGGTTTCCATGGAGACCTCTGAGTTGAGGTGTAGTGTACCCATCTTCAAGACAAAGTCAGGAGTGGGAGTGGCACTTGACTGCATACCATATTGGGTGCTGGTCTGAGCCTTGGCTGCTCTCCCTTCAGTCCAGTTTCCTTCTAATGCACCTGGAAACGCAGCAGATGATAACCCAAGTGCTTGGGCTCCTGACACCCATGTGGGAGACCCAGATGGCGCTCCTGGATCCTGGCTTTGGCCTGGCCCAGACCTGACTGTTGTGGCCATTTGGGGAGTGAACCAGCAGATGTCACTCAGCCTTCCAAACAAATAATACATCTCTAAAAAAATAAAAACCACGATTTCCATCTCGGAACTTGCTCTTCACCCATGAATGTGTGAGGAGCCCCTGTGGCCCCTGGCCCAGCCCCCTGCATGGCACGCTCCCCACCCTCCTTCCTGTACAGCGCCGAGCTCTTTGTTCCACAGAGAAGTGCTTATCCATGCCTGTGTCACGCTGTCTTTCACGATAATGAACTCTGAAGCCTGGGAATAGACAAGAGAGGGCCTGATGCTGCCCAAGGGAAGTGTTTGACCCGGGTCTGGCCTTGTCCTGGGCACCGGGGACACAGCAGTGGCCCAGACAGACCCAGGCCCTGCCTTCCTGGCGCTCAGACAGACAGAGGCCATGGGCATAGGGCTGTGATGGGAAGCACATGAGACTGTGGGCTCTTTCGTGGCAAGCGACAGAAACAGCTTAACTGGATAGGCATAAAAGGGAGTGTTTCAGGGCAGGTGTCCAGCACAATGGCTAAGACACCACTTGGGGCACCTGATCCCTATAGCGGAATATCTGGGTTTCAGTCCCCATCCCGCCCGCTTCTGATGCAGTTTCTGCTGCTGTGCATCCTGGGCGGCAGCAGTGATGGCTCGGGAACTTGGGTCCCTGCCACCCACATGGGAGACCCGGATGGAATTCTGGACTCCTGGCTTCAGCCTGGCCCATCCCTGGCTGATGCAGACACTGGGGGAGTAAATGGATGGGAGATCTCTGTCTGCTGATCACTCTACTTACAAATAAATAAATAAATAAAAAATCAAGGGGAACACTTGTTGGCTCATCTATCCAGGAAAGAAACAGAAATAAGGGTAAAGCTACAAGGATTAGGCATCAGGGGCAGGAACCAGCCTCAACCCCCATTTCCTGCCCCACGCACCCTCTCCCCATGCACCACTCCCCTCTGCCTGTCTCAGCTCAGCGTCACCCCTCTCAGCTGTGTGTGGCAGGGGAAGTGGTCCTTGATTTAATCATACAGCCTCAATGTTTCTATGGCCTAGAGGAGAAATGACAGGCTCTCTAGTCCCAAGTGAAAAAAATCCCAGGTAAGGATCTGATTGGCCTGCAGAGGTCACATGACTGCCCCCCCCCACTGTGGCATGGGGAGAGGGCTATTTCCGCCTGGTGGGTGTGGGGGGTCATCTTTGTAGGTTGTGTGGCTTGGGGGAGGGGTCGGTTGAACCCTATGACTGTGCCATATTTGCAGGTCAGAATTGGGAGTGCCCGGTCAGTTTCATGCCGCTGACCCTAGGGGACGGCTTGGCGCAGGCAGAAAAGCCTTTCGGGAGGGGTAAGCGGTGACCAGCGCAGATATGCGGCGGTGGTGGGAGAGCGTTCTGGGCGGCTGCAGCCAAGGCTGTCGGGCAGAGGCCGCGAGGGCCGGTGGCTGTGCCCTGGGGCGGGAGTGTCCTGACTGGGCAGGGCTGGGAAAAGGGAGCATTTCCAAGAAAACGGGGCGCTCTCGCGGGAGACGTGGCTAATGGGCGGGCGGAAGTAAACATGTCCAGTCCCAGGCCTCTCCCCTAAAGCCTGGGCACCTGCCGGGAGCGGCGTGCAGCCTTCCCTCACCCGTCCCAGCACCCACGCACGCAGAGGGCCATGGTGGAGCTGTGACGTCCGCTGCTGCAGTGACTGACCGCCTCCCCTGGCTTCAGGGCTGCGTTTGTGTCTGCAAGAAACAGAAAGCCCGCTTCTCCTGACTTAGGCATCCAAGGGACTCAGTTATGTCATCTAACAGGAAGTTTCGAGCCAGGGTGTCCTGGGCTCAAGGTGATGGCTTATTGGTATATATAAGGACTCTCCTTTCTATGTAAGGACTCTCTCTCGCTTGCTTGCTCTCTCTCTCTCTCTCTCTTTCTTTCTTGGTAAAGATTTTTATTTTATTTATTTGAAAGAGTTACAGAAGTAGAGACACACACAGAGAGAGAGGTCTTCCATCCACTGGTTCATGCCCAAAATGACCACAATGGCCGGAGCTGAGCTGATCCGAAGCCAGGAGCCAGGAGCTTATTCCGGGTCTCCCACGCGAGTGCAGGGGCCTCAATGCGTGGGTCATCTTCTGCTTTCCCAAGCCACAGTAGAGAGCTGGATCGGAAGTGGAGCAGCCGGGACTCGAACCTGGTGTCCATATGAGATGCCAGTGCTGCAGGCTGGAGCTTTAGCCCGCTGTGCCACAGCACCAGCCCCAGGACTCAGTTTCTAAGTTTTTTTGTCTTGTCTTTCTCTGAATGATAGCTTCATATGCTAAGCTGGGTGGTTTGTGGTCATAAAATGGCTGCCAAAGCTTACTTTAAAAAATTTACTTATTTATTTGAAAGTCAGAGTTGGAGAGAGAGAGAGAGAGAGATCTTCCATCTTTCATCAACTGGTTCACACCCTTTCCACCCACCAAGATGGCTGCAACAGACAGCACGGGTCAAGCTAAAACCAGGAGCCAGGAGCTTCATCCAGATCGCCCATGTGGGTGGCAGGGGTCCATACCTGGCCATCTTTGACTGCTTTTCTCAGGCCATCAGCAGGATCGGAAGTGCAGCAGCCAGGTCTTGGCCTGGTGCCCATTTGGGGTGCCAGTGTCACAGGCAGGTGGCAGCTTTACTCACTATGCCACGATGCTGGCCCCCTCACGTTCTTGTGTTAATGAAATAAACAGAAAAGAAAGGAACAGGTTGCAAAGGGCTTTTTTTTTTTTTTTTTTTTTACAGGCAGAGTGGACAGTGAGAGAGAGAGACAGAGAGGAAGGTCTTCCTTTGCCGTTGGTTCACCCTCCAATGGCCGCCGCGGCCAGCGCGCTGATCCGATGGCAGGAGCCAGGAGCCAGGTGCTTTTTCCTGGTCTCCCATGGGGTGCAGGGCCCAAGCACCTGGGCCATCCTCCACTGCACTCCCTGGCCACAGCAGAGGGCTGGCCTGGAAGAGGGGCAACCAGGACAGAATCCGGCGCCCCAACCGGGACTAGAACCCGGTGTGCCGGCGCCGCTAGGTGGAGGATTAGCCTAGTGAGCCGCGGCGCCGGCCTAAAGGGCTTTCTTTGTATCAGGGAAATAAAAATGTATCTGGGTGATGGCATAAAAGAGTACAGAACAAAGGAAAAAAGAG